ATAGGCACTGGAAGACTAGTGCTGCACAAATATGAGAGAGAGATGTTGACAGTCTTGAGCCTCTTCCTGGGAAACAATGCCCCATATTGCCCAGATAAAATGTAAGGGCTCAAAAGAGTCAAGGTATCTAGGACAATGATGAAGATCCCAGGCAACAGACAACAGAGGCCATTGACTTGGGTGTCAGTGTAGGTATGACTCCTGGCATCCTAATGGAGGCAGTGTGGGTAGGAGAGACATTAGAAGGAAAAATGGAAGACTTTTCATGAGACGATGCACAAAGACCATAGCTCCCAAATTCTGCAGCAAGATTGCTGCTTCAATCTTGCCAATCATGGCAAGAGCGAAAATGGTAGCATAGTTCAAAAGAAAACAGATGACCACATGACAACCAAAGGCATGGACACCAGAACACCTCATTCCACCATCATGCCCACAAAACTGATAACATTATGTTAAGTGAAATAAACCACGGATGACCACACTCATCTGTGGAGCCTAAAAACAAGTTGATCTCCCGGAAGTTAAGAATAGAATGGTGGCTAGCACAGTAGGATGGAGGGGAAGATGGGGAAAAGTTAATCAATGAGTACTTAGTACAGGATGATAGGAGCAAGAGATTCTGGTGACTATAAATGGCAGTAATTTAGTGTACATTTCAAAAAAACAATAAAAAATAATTCTGAAAGTTTTCACCACAAATAATTGAGAAATATTTGAGGAAATAGATATATTTAACCTGATTTAAATATTACACAATGCATACCTCTGTCAAAACATCATATTAACCCATGATACACAATGCTTTGTTTTAATGTAACATTTAAATTAAATGATAAAAACAATAGTCAAAAAAGATAAATATATAAAATTCTACCATACATTCTAAGTCATGGATTTAAAAAGTGTAATTATTTATATCTGACTTTTTGATATCTACTATGAGAAGATAAAGATATCTAAGAAGGAAAATAAACGAAATCAAAAGGGACACAACTCTTTGTGGATACTTTAAGACTGACTTCATAAAGGCACAAGGAAGAGGAACCAGCTGTTCCTGTAATTTTAAGAACCGTCCTATTGACAAAAAGTATCATTGCATCACAAAATGCATTAAAACAAGTGAAACCATCTATATGTTGTAGATTAGAATAATAACCTGGAAAATTCAATAATTTCAAAGGATTTCGTGTTTTTCTGATTGACAGTGTCTAGACAATCATCCTCTCCAACCCAAAGCAAGCCTGTTCTCCAGCCTAATTTTAACGGGAAAATTTCAACACAATGTCATCATTGAGATTGAGACTAGCTTTGGAGTTAAAAGACCTGTACCAAAATTGGGCTGGAAGAGCGAGATAGATAGATAGATAGATAGATAGATAGATAGATAGATAGATAGATAGATAGATAATACTAGTGTCATCAAAATGAAGAAAATTTGAGAGGTGTCAACTGCAGAAAGGTCTGTCTGGCTGATAAAGGAAGGATTGCTATCAGGGATATCAGGATGGAATGACCCAGAGTGACTACATTATGCCCCTCAAGGTATTCTTTCCAAAGTAGCTGTAAAATCCCTATAGAATCATGATGGTTACATATACCACCAGAGGTTTGAGTAATCTTCATAAGTGCCCTGCCTGCATGTTAGTCTCAGTAAAGGACAAAGCCAAAGTAATATTGACTTGGAGCACAGACCTTTTTCATACCGTCTATACATAGAAAATTCTGGGTAGGATTATTTATGTTTATTACTTTATTAAATTCTCAAAGAAAGTCTAGAAAGAGAGATGATCAAGACAGATGAGAATATTCTAGAGTGTTACTGATTGGTGGAAATAAAGACAAGGTAAAATATGAGTGTCATCATTAGGAACCAAAGAAGACATTGTGTAGGAGAGGACATAGTGTATAGAAAAATATGAAATAAAAAATTAGATGGATAAAGATTAAACAGGAATTTCATTAGATGATAGAGAAAATAGAGGGCTGAATAGTTAAGAAAATAAATGAAAAAGTTGGAGAATGGGAATAGGAATGAGGGGAAAAATGGGGAAGATATGGAGAACATATTAAGGTAAAGAAAAGCAAACCAGCAAATGGTAAAAAGGGAGGGGAAAACAAGAATGAACTATTTGCATTGAAGGACAGTGCTTCAACTGGCCCTGCAGACTTAGAGTTCATGGAAGACTTTTCAAGAGCTTCCCAAGAAAAATAACCAGTGCGGATGAGCAAGCTGATCATTCCCGACTGAAACCCATCAGAGTTGCTTTGAATGAGAGATCAACAGACCTGAAGAAGCATGGCTCCACCTACCATGTAAAGTATAACAAAGCTCCTTCCTCAAAGCACAGCCAGAAGACTAGAAGCACAAAGCCAGAAGCACAAAGTGCTTGCTTAGATTTGGCTCTGGTTATTTTTTTGGAGAGAAGCCTGAATTCTCTTTACAAGAAACAACACAACTTTTGTAAGTGAACTCCACTACTTTTCAAGATTGCTAACATATCAAATAGAAAATAGTTTCTTTGTAATCATGTTTCCCAAACAGAAAATCCTTATCCTACAACAGAGAAACTATACGCAGAAGGAGTGGGCAAGCCATCTGGTTGAATGGGTCTGATCCCCTTCTAGACTGAGATCCCTAGACCAGCTCTTAAGAATTTTTTTTTTCTCTTTTCTCATAAGTACAAATGTGAGATAAAAGATACTATAGTACCTCTCAAAAATTTCCCACTTAAGTTATTGTCTGTGGCCTTTTAGAGGAAAAGGATTTTTCCCCTAATTAATGATTTTCAATCATTATGAAAAGATCAAGGAGATGACTGCAGCTTTTTCAAGACTCCTGGAAAAAAGAATGACATTCAGTTATCCATATTCATTCATTATTTTGTTCTCTTATTCAACACATAAACAAATGCTCATGTAAGCTTTGCATGTGCTCAAAGAGGTGATGAATAAGAATAAAAAAATTCTTCATAGGAATTTAACTTTTAGGAAGAGAGAGAGAGAAGAAGAAGAGAGATAAAGAGAGAAAGATTTACTAAATACTTATATAATGTGTAATTAACTATATTCACTTATAAGAAGAAAAAGTCCAGAATGTGAAAGCAGCATAGTTAGAAATAACTTACTTAAGGACAGGTAGGCTAGGAAAAGGGAAGCATTAGAAAGAGTGAGATAAAGCAAAAGGAACTGGGGGAAACATTTGTAGAAAACTTGTATCAAACTGGGCATGGTGGCACACACCCATAATCCCAGCTACTCGGGAGGCTGAAATA